CTTTCATCTCTTTTAAGTTGTTAGGAAGCGCTTCAGGCTGCCTGGTCCTGGACCTCCACCACAGAGGCAGAAATTCTTCTGCTTCACATAGTAAGTTACTCAAGAATAGATCTAGTGAGGATTGGTTGAGTTATCTCTTCTATAAATTCAACTGATTTTAATGGGCCTACTCTAGGATTTCAGCCTCTGTGGTCTTTGCTCCTTTAACTCCATCCCTCCATCTTTAAAGATAACTTGCTCCCTTGGAAGACCCAATTCGTTGTCCTTTGCTGCTCATAGGATTAAAACAGTCTCCCAAGGAACCTGAATGAGGCTACCTGTCTTGCCTTCTTAAAATCACTCATCTCAAACTGATTTTCTCTGTTAAGCCTTTGGTGGCACTGTTAACCTGGCAATATTCAGTACCTTAGCCTATAATTAGTGCAACTACACACGTGCAACTGTAACAAATGTTTGTCGTGGTGTTACAGGACATGTCTCCTTCCAGGGATGGTTTGGCTACAACCATTATTGCCATCGTTGGTGTTATTGTCATTGTTGCCATCATGACCACAATAACAACAATAATAGTTATGAATACTGTAAACCTGTGTGATTCATTCCCTCTATTGGTCCGAAATGCAACCATTTCACACTGTTTTGCATTGTAGCAAGAATAATAATATTACTAGAAATAAGAATAAAAACATCCATTTTATAAGCCCAAGCGTGTTTAGGAGCAAGGAATTAGGATCTAATGTGCAAATACTAGGATGACATCTGTTGGAATGTTTCTATAATGGGCTGTTTGCTTGAGGATGATATGATAGCTAATGTCCACATTACCCAGATACCAGTTGGGGTATCTTTACCTTTGTTTTGCCACCTTTGTTTGCTTTTTTCCTTGAGGAGTGCGCACGCCACACATATCCCTAATGCTTGGTATGGGACAAATAATAGAACCCTGATTTGCTGCCAACACAACAAGGCGTTTATGTCAGGTTAAGTGAGCTCTCTTCTGTCAAACTGTCTGAACACCAGCTCTGAAAATGCAAACACAGTAAATTGTGGTGGTAATTGAGTCATTTGGGCGCAGAGAACATTCCACTTAATTTATCCACTGGATAATTTTTTTCTCTTCCAGTTCATTTTGTCAAAGCCCCTAATAGCAAGTAATTTTCATTAAGAGTCATGTCAATTTCACATATTCCTTCCCCAGACAATTTTGTTTAATGCGTTTTATTACATCCACACTTTAACAAAGTCAGAAGAGAAGATCTTAAATAAATATGTTGTTCAAGTCAAAGGTTTGTCATAGCCCTACTAACAACAAGCATAATGGAAGAGGCTAATTAGAATGTGCCTGTGAGTTACACAGGGGGGTTAACTGGAGTAAATATGAAAGGGTCAGGAGAGACAAAAATAGAAAATCAAAGAGGAAAGAAACCTCTCTGTGCTTTGATCAGAGCTGATGTTTCCCAATTTCTTTTTTCTTCCTCCTCCAACTAGTGTAAGCTCAGGGAGATGCTAAGCACCTCAGACCTTAATGGTCAGTAAGGGAAGGAGCTTTCATGTATTCAGTTGACAGTTTTATAGTTGTGTCATGGTGCCCGTGTATTACGATGCAGGCTGAGAACTGTGGATATAACTATACACTGCAGGGTGTCCACAAAGGGTTCTGTGAACCAAACTGGGGATGCCTTTAGAAAAAGGGCTGGACACTGGTGAATCGGCCTAATTTGGACCCATTTATATGAGATCCAGATCAGCCTACCAGGAGCTTTTTAGAAGCAAATTTTAGCAGTAGCTAATACGCGATACCCTATGGCTAGCTGTCCAAAATTTGGCATGTTTACTTTCTGTTTTGGGTTCTAGCATGTTTCCAAATTTCATGCACACCATTGTGAAACCTAAAAAAGTTATAGCCATTTTGTTTTCTTCGTGCAGGTCAATGGAAGGTTACACAAATCATTCCAGATAGGGTGCACAAATCACTCTGGACAGAGTTGGGATCCATTTTGTAGTCCCATATTGGCCTTGAATTGACTCTGGGAGGTGTGCCCATCCTGCTTAGATCTGATGTGATGCAAATCAGGAAACCAACTCAGCAGTTGTTCCCTTCATGTGCAAAACGAGACCTAACACAAGGCAGGATGAGGCATTTTCTTTGAGTAGTAAATACTGGAGTGGAGGCAAAACAACTCCCTTTATCATCCACTTCAAAATAAAGGCAGCTCATGACTTAGGGCTTGATCACACATGAGAAAAGAACCCCAGTTATATCAATTCTTTACACACCTCTGTTGTCCTGATACATTTTTTTCCAGTGGTCACATGGTATATATATTGGTGGGAGCATTAATATTGTTTTTAACTGTATCAATTAATTTCTATTTGAACCATTATAACTAGCTACACTGCCCCATAATGGGAATCAGTTCATTTTCTCTACTGTTTCTTGGGGCAGTCAGCCCCACCTTGTCATTTAAAAACAAAACAAAAAACCAAAAGTGATATATTGATAGAATAGAGCAGCAGAAGCCTTCTTTTCTCCTCTCCTTTTCCGTTCACTCCTCATCCTATTATATATATAAATATGTGTGTGTGTGTGTGTGTGTGTATACATATATATATATAATTTTTTAGATTGTTTCATAATTTTCTGTTTACATGATGTGATGCACAGCTAACACAGATTCGTGTGTGTGTGTGTGTGTGTGTGTGTGTGTCATGTGAACAGAAAATTATGCATCATGTGAACAGAAAATTTTAAAACAATCTAAAAAAAAAAGGCCAAACCAGTAAAACTGGGGTTCTTTTGGCTCACGTGATTTTGTTCTTAATGTCCTCTCAGTGGCATCTGTCACATTGGCACATCAGTGTAGCTTACTGTTATTCACATCACATTAGCACCTCTGTCTGGCTACATGCTCCTATAGTGGCTTTATCTTCACAACACGACCTTAAAGTTGTGCAGTGAAAAATTCCTTTCAAATTGCTGTTTGTTTGCATTTTTCTAAATAAAAAATAGCAGTCATACCACAACAGCAGCGCAGGTGAACCCTGGCTTCATAGGGAAGTGAAACTGCACACAAAAGCACAGAAGACAAGTTTTTTGTTATGTTTCGTTTTCCTGTAGAACATTTCTTTGCTTTTGTACTGGCACTTTGTACTCCAACATCAGCGGAGGCGTTTGGTTAGGATACTGAAAAGGCACTTATAAGTGGTCCTGTGAAACTCAGGGAGATGTCTTTCCACAGTTCTCTTTGCTTTTCACAAGCAGCTAAGGCTTCATATCCTTCTTTTGTGGCTAGTGACTCATTTGCTTCCTTTCGGATCAAGTTTACTGTTTGGTTGGTTCTTGTTTGATCTGATGTCCCTGCCCATTCCCAGGTTCTTGTTTATTTTTTTTTTTATTGTAGGTTGTTTAATTTATAATGGATTTCATTGTTCATTGGGTGAACTGATTGGTGCAAATATAATGGAAGGCAAATTTCATTACAGTGGTGCCCCGCATAGCGATGATAATCCGTTCTGGATAAATCATTGCTATCTGGAATCGTCACTATACGGGGCAAAAAACCCCCATAGGAATGCATTAAACCCTGTTGGGGGATAAACTCACCGCTAAGCGGAAATCCTCCATACGGCCACCATTTTCGGTAAGCAAGGAAACTGCGCGAAAACGCTGGGGACGGCCATTTTTTCTTCTGGCGGGCATTTTGGAACTGCCGATCAGCTAATCATTGCTATCTGGAATCGTCACTATACGGGGCAAAAAACCCCCATAGGAATGCATTAAACCCTGTTGGGGGATAAACTCACCGCTAAGCGGAAATCCTCCATACGGCCACCATTTTCGGTAAGCAAGGAAACTGCGCGAAAACGCTGGGGACGGCCATTTTTTCTTCTGGCGGGCATTTTGGAACTGCCGATCAGCTGTTTACTAAAACGAGGAAACTACGCGAAAACGCTGCGGGCAGCCATTTTTTCTTCTGGCGGGCATTTTGGAACTGCCGATCAGCTGTTTACTAAACATCGCAATACGATCGCTTTTGCGATCTGTTTACTAAACATCACAATATGAACGCTTTTGCGATCGCAAAATCCGCATCGCTATGCGGATTCGTCGTTAAACGGGGCACTTGTTATGCGAGGCACCACTGTACTCAAATTTGAATCTATCTCAAATAAATGAACAATACATTTAGTACTATGTTCTTGCCAAGAAGAAATACTGAGTATTTTAAAATTGTTATACTTTCAGTTGGTTCATTTAGGGCTCGCAAAGATCCTTGAGTTTCACAGTTAAGACCTATTGAAATGGTACTGTTTGTTTTCTAGCGCAGAACTCTTGCAAAACTTAGTGTGATCTAAAGATGATTACAAAGACATATTGTAATAAATAATGTCTAACAAAGTATTAGGGATACAAGATGTCTTCAGTCAAGCATATGTGCTTATGGACAGTGACATTTTAAACGTTAGCATGAGCTGTGCTTTGGACATCAGAGGGGCTGGCAGCAGATCAAGGAGTTAGTTTCCTGAAAATGTTGAACTATGCATTTATTTTGATGAGTCAAAAATGGATTATAATGAATTCTATTATTAAAGCTTTTGTCCTCACATACCCTGTTTCCCTGAAAGTAAGACAGGGTCTTATATTAATTTTTGCACCAAAAAACACATTAGGACTTATTTTCAGGGGATGCTTTATTTTTTTCATGGACAATTTACATTTATTCAAATACAGTCACCTCATCTTCTGGTTGCTGCACAATGGTGGAGGGCAGGCTTTCACTTAACTAGGGCTTATTTTTGGGGTAGGGCTTATATTACAAGCATCCTGAAAATCATACTAGGGCTTATTTTCAGGTTAGGTCTTATTTTCAGGGAAATAGTGGATTAGTTTTTGAGTATTTTGATGTAAAAGAAACCATAATTTTTAATATTGGCTAAGGAAATTCTTCTCAAGTCAAAGCAACCATGTTACAGTTGTGCTTTCCATACTTTTGTCATAGATGGGACACCTCTCTCGTGAATCTCATATTTTCTGACCAGTACCTTCACATCACAACAAATGTCCCATCCACTTCTGTATATGGCTTTGGTGAAAATCAACATCCATCCTTCAAGCATAATATGGACCATATAACATATGGCATGTATTCTAGGGATCAACCTCCACAGGTAAGTAGTTTGTTTTTGTTTGTGCTTTTTCTGAAGCCACAGATGGGCACCTTTGGAGTGTCTAGGGCCATTTTTTCCCATCCCAACCCACAGAGCTCTGCAAATTCCCTCTCCCCCCCCCGTGTGTCTGTGTATCTGTGTAAGAAAGGAAAAAGAGGGGGAGAGAGAGGGAGGGAGAGAACAGTGGGCTACTGAATTCCAATGCAAACAATGAACATTCTTATTTGGGCAAAACATGTCAGGAATTTAAAGGGAAAGAATATTGATTTATTGATTTTGCATAGTGACTAACAAAAGAGAAACATTATTGATTTAGAGCAAAATACTGGACTCCACAGACAAAGAACTACTATGCCTACACATCAGCCAAAAAATGAGAAGTCAAGATTGGGACAAGATTGATACCCTCTCTTACAAAAAGATGGAAAAAGAAATGATGAACCACACAGCCAGACAAAAACAGAAATTCAACAAATGCCAAACAAGCCATCAGGAACCTACAGTAGACACCTCGCGGATCATCATCAATCTATTGGGATGCCAACTCTCCCCAGAAGAAACCTCAGTCTTAAGCAAAGGAGAAAATTTTGCAGTCACACACAGTAAAATTTCTGTGGAAGACATCATTGCCAATGTGGAATCAGCATTATATCATTCTTCCAGAAGAAAAAGCAGAGAAAATAAAGAGGTGAAGTGACTAGGATCCTATGGAAAGCAAAACCCCCCAAAAGCAACATAACAAGAAAGGAGAGAAATGTCATTAAGTCCCTGAACTCATACCTGTACATCATCATCCTGCCAGCAGACAAAGGCAATGCCACGGTAATCATGGAAACAGAAGAATACAAGGACAAAATCAGGGAACTTCTAGACACAACCACCTAAAGAAAACTGAAACAGGACCCAACCGACAAAACCACAAAACAAACAAACATGCTGATCAGGAGTTCCTCCCTGCACCCCAATGCTCTTCAACGAATCTGCAAGACAGAAGCTCTCCCTCCAAGACTATCCGGATTCCCCAAAATCCACAAGGTCTCAATCCCACTCAGGCCCATTTTAAGTGCCATCAGCTCCCCAACATATGAATTAGCCAAACACCTAGCGACCCTCCCACAGAGCCACATTGGACAAACCTCATCCTACATCAAAGACTCAAGACATTTCATAAGCAAGATCAGCACCCTAAAACTCAACCCTGATCAGCTTTGATGTAGTATCCCTGTTCACTAAGGTACCAATAAAGGACACCCTGACACTCATCCAGCAGATCTTTCCAGAAGACATCAAGGCCCTCTTCCAACACTGCCTAATGACCAGCTATTTCCAGTGGGATAATGAATTCTATGAACAGACAGATAGAGTGGCCATGGGGAGCTCCCTCAGCCCAGTTATAGCAAACCTCTAAATGGCTTCTTGCCCTGGCTTCGGCACCCCTCGCACCTACAGCCTGGTTCCGATATGTGGATGACACCTTTGCAATCTGGAGCCATGGTGAAGAAAAATTCACCATGGGAAAAGAAATAGAGGGCCAACTCCCATTCTTAGATGTCATGGTCCTACGGAAAACTGACCTCCAACTGGGACACAAGGTCTACAGAAAACCTACCCACACAGACCGGTACCTACACAAAAATTCCAACCACCACCCACAGCAAAAAAGAGGCATAATCAAAACACTGGTAGACCATGCAAATCGGAACTGTGAAGCTCAGTTTCTCAGCACTGAACTCAACCATTTGAATTGGGCCCCACAGGCAAATGGCTACTCCAAAAATGAAATCATAAGAGCCATCAAACCAAGAAAACAACACCAAACTGAAGAAGAAAAACAGCCATCCACAAATAAAGTAATTCTGCCATACATCAAAGGGGTCATGGACCACATGGGGAAACTTTAAAAACACACACAACCTACAAACAGTATTCAAGCCCACCACAAAAATACAACAAATGTTACAGTCAGCAAAGGACAGAAGGGACCCCCTCACCACTGCAGGAATATACCGGATACCTTGCAGTTGTGGACAGGTATACATTGGAACCACAAAACGAAGCATCCACACCAGAATCAAAGAACATGAGAGACACTGCAGACTAAAACAACTGGAAAAATCTGCAGTAGCTGAACATGCCCTAAAACAAGCTGGACATGAAATTCTATTTCAAATACTGAAATACTGGACAACACCGGCAATCATTATGTCAGATTGCACAGGGAAGCCATTGAAATCCACAAGCACCAGCAGAACTTCAATAGAAAAGAGGAAAGTTTGAAACTCATAAAACTTGGCTTCCAGCTCTGAAAAATACAGTGTGCAAAAGGTCAACAACCTCTACCCAGCCACAAGGACCGGGGATCACAACACACAAAAGACCAGCTAATGGCAGCCATCAATCACAGTGACAGATAATCTCTTCTCCTTATCGCAACAATACACCCACAACAAGACACACTAATCACCCATCTCCTGAATAGGACAAAATCCTATCTCACTGCCATAAATACTCCACTCCCAAGCAAACTACACCAGAGGACAGAGTGGTGTCCTCTGAAGATGCCAGCCACAGAAACTGGTGAAACATTAGGAAGAACAATCTTCAGAACACAGCCAAAGAGCCTGAAAAACCCACAAGAACCATAAAGTAAAATATTTCAGCTTTTGTTGCACCTATCAATGCAGAAGTCAAACTTAACCAAGTAATTCCTAATTTCATGTTTAAAATAGCTATTGAATATCTTATTTCTGCATGTCAGTGCTACAGTCTGGCAAATAATGTCTTAATTTGGAGAAGGGGAAAATGTGATTGCCTCTCAACCTGAGGAAATAAACAAAGACATTTTCTTTTTCTTTCTCTCTACTTAAATGAAAAGAGGACCTAAAAAAGTAATCGATACAATTTTCAAAAGGAGTCCACATTTTGTAATTTTAATTGTTTAAACACAAGCAACATTCATTCTTGACTATGATTAATTTTTTGCGTTAACTTATTTCACTACTTTGGGAGGGCAATTGTTTTACTATGATTTTTGGGGGGAAAAATCAGAACTAATGCATTAGGAATGGTCAGAATCCTATTGTTTATTGGGGGAAAAATCAGAACTAGGAAATAAAGGAATTAGGAATGGTCAGAATCCTATTGTTTATGGTCATCGGTGTTAAATCCAACAGTATAAATTTCAGTGCTGATTTACCACTGGCTAAGAAGTCAAGGCTTGCATTTCTTGACATGCACTAAGTGTGTGTGACAAGAAATATGTACAAGAAGTGACTTTTTAATTAGTGGCATTTCACTGCTGAGATTTAAGGCATAGAATTTAACCCAGTGGGCATAAGTAATAGGATTTTGTGGCCATTCTATTAATAAATGTTGATGTAACATATTAATTTTCCACATTTCAACAATATTAAGACTAGTAAATTAATGTTCCTTGTGTTAAAATGTTAATGGCAACACTAACCTTCCCAGATTCTGGTAAATAATGTGCTAAAATTGTATTTGCTGCCCATTCATAGTCTTCTTTGTTTTGAAAGCTGAAATAAACTGGTATATGATGGTATATCATCATCTACTTTTGCTCTTTCAGATGTATGCAAATCTTTATGGAGTCCACCCTTTTTACATGTGCATAGAGAGCGATGCAAATGCTCATGGTGTCCTCCTCCTGAATTCCAATGCACAAGGTAATCAAAGCATTATTTCCCATGACATATCCCTTCCAGGATGAAGTCCAGTTGAACTGAGTGTGAATGGATGTATACTCACTAAGCAGTTGTCTACATTGCAAACCTTACAGCATCCTTGGACACTGCAAAAGGGATATATATGATGGCAAATGTGCAATGGTTTTCCCATTCATTTCAGCAGAGGTATGAAACTCCATAACAGCCTCTCTTTTTTTGACTGAAGAGCCACGCAGGTCTGGCCCAGGCAAAGGACAAGATGGTCCCTGCCTTGCACATTCCATGTAAACAGAACTCATCTAGCTTCATTGTTGTATCTTATTTTAACACTGGTGACAGGAGAGTGCCCTCTACAGAATCTATGGGTAACAGCCTTACTTCAGGAAGGGAAAGGACAGGCTGTGTGGCATATGCACTTGTGTCCTCTAGCATGTCGCTGCTGTTTGCACTCACCATCATTTTTTGCCTGTGATGATCACCTCTGCCTAATGGTAGGACCAGCCACACGAAATGCAGAAAAGAAGTCCATACATAGCTCACTTGCAATGTTGTTGGTGTATGTTATTGCTATAGATTGTCATACAAAATATTTATCCCTTAATGAACTTTAATGCACTCAAAATGAACTGAGTATGTAAAATATGAGTCTGGGACCAGAATAACTAAACAAATGAGTCTGACAAATTTGCAAACAAATGTTAAATTATAAACTACATTTTATTCTCAACTGAACTTAAGTTGGCCATGAATAAATTAATGTCTATGGATAGCAATGACATTCAATGGCCAAAATCTTGTTGGTTAGTGTAATATATAACACTAGAGTAAGCAGACAGGCCTTCTTTAACTGTGACTTCCTATGCTAAAGTAAGTTGTAGTTAGAGTAGAGCAGTTGTAGTTAAAGAAGGCTGACCGCCAAAGAATTGATGCTTTTGAATTGTGGTGCTGGAGGAGACCCTTGAGAGTCCCCTGGACTGCAAGGAGAACAAATCTATCCATTCTAAAGGAAATCAACCCTGAGTGCTCACTGGAAGGACAGATCCTGAAGCTTAGGCTCCAATACTTTGGCCATCTCATTAGAAGAGAAGACTCCTTGGAAAAGCCCCTGATGTTGGGAAAGTGTGAAGGCAAGAGGAGAAGGGGATGATAGAGGACGAGATGGATGGATAGCGTCATCGAAGCTACCAACATAAATTTGACCCAACTTCGGGAGGCAGTGGAAGACAGGAGGGCCTGGCATGCTCTGGCCCATGGGGTCACAAAGACCTGACTAAAGGACATGACTAAAGGACTAAACAACAACAACAACAACAACAACAACAAAGGCCCCTTTTGAATCAATGGAACTTATGGAGGAGCTGGCTCAACAAATCTCCATTGATTCAATGGGCCTGCCATGTAGTAATTTGCTACATACACTAAGCAGCAAAATTTGGCTAAGCAACTAAGCAACACCTTATAAAATAAGGCGCTTCTAATCTGCATTGTTAAAAAATCTAAAAAAAAATTCTCCAGGTCACTTGATCCCAAGCAAAAGCTGGGTCGTACTGTATACACACACTAAGTCCTACTGAAATCAGTGGAGCTTATGTCTGAAAAGATAAGAAAGACATTTGCTGAAATTTTGTTGCTTAGTTTAGTAAGTCACAAGAATAGGCGTACTGTATCAATTGGTATTTGTGAAGGCTTTCACAGCCGGGATCTAATAGTTGTTGTGGGTTTTTTGGGCTCTTTCGCCGTGTTCTGACGTTTCGCCAGTCGCTGTGGCAGGCATAGTCAGAGGACAGGAGTAGCACTCAGTGCTGTGTTGTAGTTTGCTTGGGAGTTGAGTATTTATTTCCAAAGCTTCCCCATGCGGTCCATGGCCACTTTGATGTATGGAAGAAATACTTTATTTGTGGGTGGCTGTTTTTCTTTTTTAGCACTGAACTCAACCATCTGAATTGGGCTCCACAGGCAAATGGCTACTCCAAAAATGAAATCACAAGAGCCATCAAACCAAGAAAACAGCACCAAACTGAAGAAGAAAAACAGCCACCCACAAATAAAGTATTTCTGCCATACATCAAAGGGACCATGGACCGCATGGGGAAACTTTTGAAAAAACACAACCTACAAACAGTATTCAAGCCCACCACAAAAATACAACAAATGTTATGGTCAGGAAAGAACAGAAGGGACCCCCTCACCACTGCAGGAGTACACAGGATACTTTGCAGTTGTGGCCAGGTATACATTGGAACCACAAAACGAAGCATCCACACCAGAGTGCTACTCCTGTCCTCTGAAGATGCTGGCCACAGAGACTGGCGAAACATTAGGAAGAACAACCTTCAGAACACGGCCCAAAAGCCCGAAAACCCCACAACAACTAACTGCTATTTGCTGCGTTAAGGTCTCTTCAACTTCCATTAATTCAATCAGCCTTCTCTAGCTGTGATTCACTATGATCAGCAGCAAGATTTTAGCTGGTATATATATAATTGCAGTGTCACAGAATAATCTTGTTAGTAACCAATAGTGTCAAGCATGCTGGTCTAATTATGCTAGACTGCTTTTTTTCTAAATGAGACAGTGAAAACTGTTTTACTTTTGCTAAAATTGTATCATAGGTTTCTGAAAGTATTACTCCCAGAAACTGCAATAAGCTATTCAAAAAGACTTCCCTTTTATCCCTGCTAAATGAAGCAAATACTGTATGTCTATTTTACTAAAAAAAGGATGATTAACTGTTAAAAATAGAGGCCTGTGCTAAAGAAAAGGATCTGAAGAAGATGATTTTCAAAATTCCTCAGGGGTTCCTACCAGTGAAATAAGCCAATTTAGATTTACCCTGTATTGTGTTGACAGAGAATAGTTTCTCTGTTGCCATGGCCACCCCACTGTATTAATCTTGCTCTGTAATTTTTGAAAAGGGGAATCTTTTCCTAAAGCGAAGAAATACAGTCCTTATTCAGCAAGGACTTATCCAAAAAAAGGCCCAGAATCAAAACATAACATTTTTTGCAACCAGATCTATATTTAAGTGTTGCTGAGCTTCTGCTGATAGTGAATTGTTCCTTAAAAGGACTACTGGTGTTGTTTTTGTTGCTGTTCTTTATGTTGTTGTTTCATAGGTAAAATCCTATCATTTCACAATCTGTTGCTCTCCTGTTGCCATGTGTGTTGAGCTATGTGGGCGCCAAGTGTGGATTCAAGGAGCATTTAGGGGGGGAAAACAGTTCTAGTAGTGATAAATATTTTGAGGTTGCTTCACAGAATGGTGGGTGGGGTCATATGAAGTTTTTGAATGACCTACTCAGTTATTAATTAGAGAATGATTAAAGACTCAGAGGAAAAACTGGCCCTTTGGTAATACAGTATATGCCGAATGCCAAATATCTCTTTTCTTTCAGATGTCACATTGAATCCAGAGCCATCTTTGTCCTTTCGCACCATTGGAGGGATTCTTGATTTCTATGTCTTCCTCGGCCCAACCCCTGAAAACGTAGTCCAGCAATACACAGAGGTGAGTGGAGAAATTGGTTAGTCAGAAAAGACTAAGAGAAACCTTTACTTGTTGATGGGGAATTTAACGGTGGCTTTACAAGTAGAAATGCATGGCATGGAGGATCAGGAAATCTGCTACCATCATCTCCTTCACAGAAATGATTGTTGGTTTAAGGTCTATTGCCCACCTTCAGTAACCAGTGTGAGAACCGACATATTGAACTTCCTTAGAATCCTATGAACTTTAACACAAGGAAGGAAAGTAGGAGTATTCTGAAAGAAAGGCAGGCATCTAGAACATGACTTTATCAAGGATTCTCAGAAGGAATGGAAGGCACTAGAGCACAGTTATCCAAATGTTATCATGCCGCTAAATGTGCTGCAAAATATTAATATGTACCACTCTAGCCTCTGGATAGCACCCAAGGGTAGAATAAACGGTAGAATTTTGGAATGATTTATATTCGTTCCCAGTTTTTCCACCCAATACGCTTTTTAATCTCTCTAGCATGCAGCAACAGTCATTCCTCAAAGCACAAGGAACCGTAGTGGTCTGTTATCCTCATCATAGCTGGGGACGCTCAAGCCACTTTTCTGTCACCTGTGAATACTTGCCTGCCTAAGAAGAGCATCAAATCCCATAAGAATATATTGCTGTTACTTTACCACTGTGTGTTCTGTATTTGCCTTCCTTCACCTCAGTTGTCTCCCTTGAAAGGCTCATTGTTCAGAGAGGTTTCATAAGCAAAAACGATTGGCATAGAGGCTCATAGCAACAACCAGTAATGTTCGAGTGAACCCACTATTGTTACCTAATCTGTTTCTTAAGCGAGCTTTTTCCCTACTTGCCCTACTCTTCGTCCTTCACCCTTTTCCTCCTACAGGTTCACCATCATCATCACCATTACCATCATCATCCAGGTCTTTCTCCTTCTCTTATTTCTTACACTTAGTTCTTTTTCTTTTTCATCTTCATTACTAAGCCTTCTCTTTCCCTTAAAGTAATTTAACAATCCTTCCCCATAAGCAACAAAGACCAGCACACACATTGTTTTACAACCTTCTGTGTGCTCAAGCTTGCTTTGGGATGGTCATTACTATTCTCATCTGACAATCTGTATCCTCAATGTGTACATGAGTAGAATTACAAAAGTGTGGAGTGAGGAAATTACCACCCTGGCACAGCCTCCCCCATCCTGCTCTCCCCTGAATGTTTCTGATTCCAAATCCCATCAGTCCCAGATAATGATTAGCAGTAGTGGAGCGTCTATTTGTGGAAGGTTCCACAAGAGGGCCAAGACACGAGTGTTTGCCATTTCTTTGCAGACACTCAATGTGTGTGTGTGACTACCCCACTAGTAGTACATTAGCAAAGCACAGTAAATGAGTTTGAACCTAAACTTGTAAGCATGAGCAGAGACTTTCTCTAGCCAGATCCAGTCTCTAATCAGCTCAAGTCACATACATATAATGCCTATGAGCTGTGTTGAGGGTGAGCTGGACACAGGTTCTGGGGAAAGTAAAAAAAAAACCCAGCTTTACTGCAAACACGGATAAATATAATATAAAGCACTGAAGACAAAGGGGAAAAACTTGTATGCCACTCTTTCGACATCCCCCCGGTAGCTGTACCATGGGCGTGCATGCCCAACTGCTTGGGCTCATGCTTGAGCCCTGGGGTCTGTCTCCTTTTGGTTAATGTCCAGTAAATCTGCCTATCAAATCTAATTTAAAACTTCTCTCTGAAGTCTCCTTTTGAAGCTTGTCTGCTTAAACCTGTTCCTGAAGATGCTTAGCTGCTAAAATCAAACAAGAGTACTTACTAAGTACTGTGGAGATCATTTGTACATAAATGAACCAAAACATTCCAGTGCTCATGCCTGGGTCCCCTCATCATTTGCATGGGGACAGTTTTGATTCAGCCAATGTAAAGTGGCCCAAAGGCTCCCATGGTGACATATGTATCCCATCAGAAGAGGCACGCTGAATCTACTCTTGGTCATGGCTGTTGTTGTTTGATCCTGTGGTGGTGATGTTTGAGGAGATATGGTGGCACCAGGATTGTGGCAGGCAGTAGCAATTCTGTTTTTATATCCACTAGATGGTCTGGTGTTGTCAGTGACATCAACTCTAATCCAGCCTTTCTCTATTATTCTCATTTTCTAATGTCTCTTTCTTACCTAGCCAGAGTGGGGAGACTTGCCAGTTATGTGGTGCTTTATCAGATGACATTGTTGCTCCCATTATTGAAAAGATCCTCTTGGGATATATGCCACCATTGAGTACATTAATTCTTTTAGGGATTAAATTGGGCAGTGAAAGGCTGCACGGCTGTTCACACTTACCTAGGAGAAGGCTTAACTCAATATAGTGCATTTCCGTCTCAATAAATATCTGTATAGTTGCACTGTGAGACACAGGCAGTGAATCAATCTGCCTCCCTCCCTCCTTCCAATATACTGTATCCCTGTTGTTTTCTCTGTGTGTCATTCTTGCCCATGGTAACTTTAATTCTCCCTGTTAGTGTTGCACCAGCTGTGAAATAATGAAAAAATTCCCAGAGAAATTGCCAGTATACCTGCAATCTGAAGGGGGTTTTTTTTGTTTTTAAAAGAAGGTTTCAGAATTTCACACCAGCACAAATGAAATCCTAATCAAACAGCAAAGCTTTGGGAAATCCTATCCACCCCCAATGCCTGAAATTATCATTTTCCCAACCCAGCAGGGGAGCAGCAGCTGAAAATAGCAGGTAGTCAGCAACCACTGGCAGTTTACATTCCACCCTTGCGTCTCTCAAAATATAGGGTGGAGCTGTGAAAACAGCCTCAGCTATTTCCTGAATAAATATGTGAAAGGTAGATTGTAATGAATGCAGCCCCTTGTTCGCTGCTTCTGTGTACCTCCTGATGGGAAGTCTGAGGTTGGGCACTGAGGTAATTTCACAGTGAAATTATTTCTGAAGCCGCCTTCCTGGAAATCTTTACAGTGCCTGCTTCTATTATTAGAACATTATTTAAACTGGTGTGTGTTGACCAAGGACACTGAATAAAAGAGATCTGCCTATAGGGAAATAACATATTTTGATCAGACCCAGTATAACCTTTCACCCACGACAGTGGAAGCCATCGTTTGTTTTTTGTTTATCCCCCACTTCCACAGCTTTTGTTTAGGGAAAGAAGAGGAAATGACAATTTCTGCCCAAAATAAAGATAGATTTGACTATGTTATCATCACAGAGCAAAATTTAATAAAATGAGCTTGTCCGTGTCTTTTTCTAGGATCGTATGGCCATACGTGGTGGCGCTGTGGGCTAAACCGCAGAAGCCTGTGCTGCAGGGGCAGAAGATCCGGCAGTCATAAGATCGAATCCACGCAATGGAATGAGCACCCGTCGCTTGTCCCAGCTCCCGCCAACCTAGCGGTTCGAAAGCATGCAAATGCAAGGAGATAAATAGGGACCACCTTGGTGGGAAGGAAAACAGGGTTCCGTGTCTAAATCACACTGGCCATGTGACCACGGAAAGATTGTCTTCGGACAAAAACGCTGGCTCTATGGCTTGAAGAGCGGGATGAGCGCCGCCCCCTAGAGTCGGACACGACTGGACAAAAATTGTCAAGGGGAACCTTTACCTTTACCTATGGCCATAGATCATTACTGCTAGTTCAAGAAAAGAATATCAATACAGCTTCCAGACACTCTTTATGCATCTGGACACTGCACTAACAGAAAATACATTCTTCTGCTATCTGCCCTGTAATTGCTTCAAGAGATCATGAGGGAGCAATGAAATGTACAACTCGCTATTCCGTAAGGCCACCTCCCCTGTGGTGTAACTACACAGCTGCCATTACACCACAAAAGAAGTGGAAATATCCCTTGTTAAATTACAATGATGATGGGAATGTATTTATACCCTCATTATCAGAAAACTATTCATTGCAAATTGTTTCTTGTGCTTCCAGCCGACCTCCAAGATGATGTGCGTTTGGATAGCAGGGGAAAGGGTTCTTCAGGTATAGTGATATGTGTATGTAGAATTCCACTATTTGAGGAGAATCAGCTGTGGCTACCCTCATGGGGAAGGATGTAAAACACACATGCACCAGTATAGGAGAGCCCTTTTTCATGCTGTCTGAATGTGCTGACAGTGAGGGTGGATTTTTCTACCTAGTGAAAGCGATGGGGATGTGGGCTAATTAGAGATGGGGGTATTTGTATTCGCATACTAATATCCCTGCGCAGGTGGTGATAATGAGGGTCCAGCCCTATGGGGCCGGACGGTCCACTCACTGATCCACTGTGGACGGCACAATTCTACGAATGGCTCTGCAGTGCGCGATCCACTTGCTATTCCTGGCAGGAGGCGGGAGGACAAGCCTTGCTGAAAGGTTGAAGAGTGGCGAGTGGATCGTGCGCGGCGGGGCCATCCTTAGAGTCGCGCTGTCCGCATTGGATCGGTGAGTGGACCATCTGGCCTCATAGGGCTGGACCCTCATTAACGCTACCTGTGCAGGGATATTCATATTTGTTTATAAACATCCCCATCTCTAGTGCTCATCTGCGTAGCTCCACACCCCTAATGGTTGTTTTTCAATGTATTGGAAGGTGATTTCATGTGAACTTCTTTACTATGAGCAAAAAAGAATTCACACACTTTTTTTTTTCGTTTTGGAGTTTGCCTTGTTATTATTTTATCCCTTGTTAGCGGCCTGTATCTTTAGCACATTCCTTACAAACATCCCCACCTCTAGTGCTCATCTGCGTAGCTCCACACCCCTAATGGTTGTTTTTCAATGTATTGGAAGGTGATTTCATGTGAACTTCTTTACTATGAGCAAAAAAGAATTCACACACTTTTTTTTTTCGTTTTGGAGTTTGCCTTGTTATTATTTTATCCCTTGTTAGCGGCCTGTATCTTTAGCACATTCCATCTTTCAACCTTTACCTTCCTTTTTCATAAATTATTGTGTCACTTTTGTTCAGCTTTGCAAATCCAGAGCACTCTGCTCAGGGTGTAT